AAAGCGGGGCACTTCAGGTTTCCATGGCAGCAGTGGCTAATTTGCTGGCCTTCAAAAGAGAGTAGATAACAGATAATATAAATTTAAAAATAAAATAAAAACGAAAATAAAAACTAGACACCCACAGCAGTTTTCAAGAGACTGGCTCATTTGGGGGCTATTGACACATCAACTTCAAGAAGACTGGACTTAAGAATTGAAAGTAAAAAGGATTTATCTTTCCAATTAAAAATCTCTGTTCAAAGCTTTCAGGCTGCCAGCCCAGCTCCCCTTCTGTTTAGGAGCATGGTCCCTGTTTGCGTACGGCAAGTCACTACCCCGACAATAAAGAAGGAAGCGGTGTGTGGCAAAATAACCAAGAATGGAGTTTAACAAATTTCTTAGTAAGTTTTTTTGAAGTCAAGATTCTGAAGGCGTAGGGTTGTCTTGACAAAGGGATGAAATCTTTGGGGAGTTTCCCGGCTCACGGGAGATTTAGTTTGCTAGATTGCCACCTAGTGGTCATTCTGGAAATTGCAGACAATGCTGTTACACATTTTCACGCAAATAAGGAAGAAAACGGTTATCTTTCTTTAGACTATGACTACCCGATTTTAGTGCATCCAACGTACTTTTTAAAATTCCACAATCAGCTGGCAGGACAGATGCTGTGAGAAAAAGGGAAAAGGGCTATGTGGAGCTGGTTGATATTTGAGAGTAATCAATGCTGTATTGGGAACGCTGGTTTGGTTTGGTTTTAGACCACCATCACTGCATTCCTGGCAGAACTGACGTAGAAATATATTTGAGATTCCTTGGCACAGTAGCATTTAGATAATATATAGTAATAAATATGAATTCTGATGTATTTTTCCATGTGCGTGTGTTTTTGAATGACTTGCCTGAACTTAAGCTGCCGAATCTAGCCCACCCTCCGCGCCCTGCTGATGTCTCTGCTCAGGTTTTACTTATTTTTATATTTTATACTGTTTTTCTATGGGTTTCCCTGGATCTGCATCGCTCAGTGGCCAGTGATTTGAGCAGAAGTTTTGTTCAAACTCCCAGAGCTGGTAAAGCATCTGCCCTCAGATGATTTCTTCCTTTCCTCAGCCAGCCTAAAGATTGCAGTAGCTGGTGCTATTTTAAACTATGTCCTTTTTCAGAGACGATCAAATTAATCTCCAGCTACTTTCCCTGGTAGACCTGAAGAGGCATGCCCCGAGTCAGGATTTAGGTTATTATAATTTTTTTTTAATGTCACCATCCCTGGGCCACTGACATAAACTTTTTTATCAAGAGGCTAATGTGAATAATATGACAAAAAGGAACAGTTTGAATATAGGATGAAAATGATTTTAAATGCTGCAGGATTTGTTTAAAATCATTTGCGTTTTTCTATCCAGTGATTTCTTTTTTGAGTCCTGTTGGAATGAAAATAGACCTTTGAGTATTTTCTTACCTCTAATCATTACTTTGAAGAACCTGGAGAAGATGTGAAAATAAAATTGATACTTTGTGGTTTTATGGTAAAAACCTAGGCCCACCCACTGCACCTTGCTGGCCAGCCCCTTTCTAGATCAAAGTCACCTTTCCCAGGAATAAAGTCTTAAGTCATTCAGTGGCCGACTGTGATGTCATTGCCACATTGGTGCCTGATAGGTCAGCCTCAAAACTGGAGTGGGTAACAGTTTAGATTTGGCTGTGGTCCGAGGCCTATGTTCAGATTTCTGCTTTGCTATTTACAAAGCTGTATGTCTGGGGACCTCTTATCCTTAGTTTCCTGGTCTGTGAGATAATACTTGTCGCTGAGTTTTGCAGTGGGCAGCACACGAGAAATGTGGAAAAGTCTAGTAGATGCCTGGAGCCCGAAAGGGGCCGTGCTGACACTCTTTCCCGGTGTGTTAAAGGTCACCTCTCATCTGGTACATTCCTCATTTTACTAAAGCGAGGAAGAAGGCTTCATCGAAGGCTTTGCCCCTTTATTGAACCCTGCCAGCCTCTGGCCTACTGGCGGCTGCCAAGTGTCAATTATTCTGTTGGTTTCCCTTCTCTGAGCACAGATGGTGGAGGCAGCCACAGACAGCTTTCACAGGCACGCTAAACTGAGCTAAAACATCAGCCGGGCAGAGAGAGACCTGTTCTGTTGAGAAAGCATCTTTCAGAACCTGAAGTAGTTGTAAAACCCAGATAAGATTCCAGGATCACTAGCGCCCCCTAAGGAGCGGCCAGGAGGACGGTAAACGGTGTTAACAGTCTCAGGTGATTCTCCAAATACAGCTCTGCTGTGGACAACAGTATCTCAGCTAGGGCCTGGCGAGATTGGGAGGTGACTTCTGCCTGGCTTCCCTTTCCCTTTTTTGCTATGTGAACCCATGTGTCGTTGTTATTGTGACTGTGGAGGCTGGGAAGTTTGGTGGTGGAAATGGAGAANCTCAGCCTAACAAATATGTATTGTTAAATTATAGTTGACATTCAGTATTATTCAGCAATAGCTATATATGATGTCAGAGGGGTAGTAGACTGGGGGGAGGGAGGTTATCACTTTGTGAGGGGTGTAAACGCCTAACTATTACATTGTTTTGTACACCTGAAATTATTACTATTTTTTTAAAAAAGATGTATTGTTGTCCTATTTGCTTCCTATAGGCACTTTTTCTGATTTCACCATTTGAGTTCCCTCTCCCCAGCCCAATTCCAGTCCACTGAGTGCAAAATCAGATGAAAGGTCTCGGAAGGGGCAGTACATGTTATGGGCCCTGAAGCACAAGCTTCATTAGCTTCCAGATAAACCTGTCTCTGTGCAGGAAGGGCAGAGGGTACACGGCTCAGCTGCAGAGGATAGCACAGTAATCCAAGACACAACATCCCAGGGCTGTTACAAGTTCATTCTTAGTTTATCCAAGTCCCGGCACCAGGAAGGGTTCTCAAGCTGTGCATGGGGCAGGGCCACAGGGAGTTTAGGGGAGCTGAGGTGGAAGACGGGGACTTAGACTGCAGGTCTAACAGGTCTGTCCATTCACAGGAGGAATCCTGTCAGCGACTGTGGGCTCAAGGAAAGGATTCAAACCTTGGAGGTGGCAAGAGCCAGAAATATTAGGGCTATGAAATCCTAACTGTCTCCTTAACCAGGGACAGTAATGGGCCTCTCAGGGGACCACTAGTAGGGAGAAGTTGAGGGTGCTTCCTAATCTGTAGACAATATTGAAAGGAGAAGTTCCCTAAGAAATAGAGCAGGTAGTGGCAGCATTTGAAAGAACTGCAGGTGAAAACTCGAAAGCCAAGGATATGCAGTATGGGCAAGGATGGAGAAGAGAACCTAAAATAAAAAAGGGGCTTCACTGTCAGAAAGCCCCTGGGGTTATTTGCAGAGCAGGAAAGCAGATTAGAAACCTAGAGTGATTATCTAGGAAGGAAGCAATGAGGCAGGAGGATTTAGGTGGTACCATATATATTCATAATTGGAGAGAGAAGAAATTCGAAAAAAAAAATGTATCACCAGAAATGAGTAGTTAGTTAAATGCAGAGCCCAAGGCAGAGAAAGTGAGTGATGGTGAGTTCCCTGGAAGAGATATGGAAACAATAACAACAACAACAACAACAACAACAACAAAACAAATCAGAAAGCTACCTTTTCATAGGTGGAATATCACCAAATTGCATATTATTCATCAACATATGCACTGGTTAGGTGCATGTGAATATGTGACTCTCCCTTCATTTTGGACATCGGAGGATTATTGTTTGCTTTAATGATGCTATTATATATGAGATTTTTATACTTTATATGAAATTTCTTTTTCATAAATTTACATAAAATATTTAAATTAGCATCTTCTGCCTTAAGTACACATTTATTAATAGTCTTTCTTAAAGGGATGTTTTTAATTAGAACAACAAATGCTTATTGAGAGCTACCTAGGTATAAAGTGCTGAGTCACTGCTGTCCCATCGCATTCTCCTCTCATTAACTAGTCAGCATAGCAACAAAAATTTCACCAAGGACAACCAGCCTTCTTCCTTGATTTGCAGCCTTTATTTAATTGAATCATGAAATTTGCATTTAGCACTTGAAAATTTTATTTCAGTGAACAGCAAAAATAATTGCATACAGCTTTAACTGCTAACAAAATTGCATACAGCTTTAACTGAGAGCACAAGAGAACACGATGACAAGCATCGGTATAAGAAACAGCTGAAATGATTCCTAGGACAACCCCACATACTGTAATCAACTGAGAGGGAGGGGTGGAGAGGGAGATGGCACAGAAATCACACATTAAGTGCTTATATCCAGAAATTATAACGGTCTCACAAGCCCTACATGGGAATCTTGATTATTTCTTCTCTGCTAGAGTTAATTTTCTGAAATTCTTCTAACCCTCTGACTTCTGTGTCAGAGTTCTTAAGAATTCTAAAGATTTAGAAGTTTAGAATTAAACTATAGGAATTTAGAATTACCAGAAACATTCAAATCCTCCTTTGCTGCCACCACAATTTTAAGAATTATTCTGTAGGTAAGGTGACAATTCTGCCTCTTTCACTGATAAGAAATGAGTAGGAAAATGGTCTACCTTTTCATTAGCTAGTAGAATCGGATGCCTTCCTGCACTGAATTGCTTGGTATTTATGTGGGAAAGAATTTAATTTAAACCACAATTAGTGGTAATCATGTCATGTTCAAATTAAGGTAAGTATTTTTATGTTTACAAAGAAATAATCTTTTATAATGTTTTGCTTCTAAGACTCAGGGTTGCAATTTACCATCAAGGTTTTGACTCTTTTTGAAATAACTAGACTAACATTTTATAAGAAAATAGAGCATAAAAGAGTGTCTGTTTTTGTACTAAGCTAACGAGGATTTGTAAAACTATAATAATTTTTTATAGCTTATGTCTACACTACAGGTTATGAATTTTCAGAAAAAAGTTGTTTCTCTTCAACATTTCTGTCTGGATAAAGAACATTTGAAAATCTACCAGAAATGTGTGTAGCAAATATCGAGGGGAGGTGCTGAAGATCGTTCATCCAGAGCTTCCACCTAGACTTGCGCAGCCATTACGGATATCCAAGTTCAAGCTCTAAATAGAAACCAATAGTTAAAAATAAGTTGTTTTTGGTAAAATCTATTAGCATGTGCTATTTCAGTTACTCATGTATATCTACTAATTACAATAACCTTTCTGGATTCTGCTGTACTACATTTATTCACATTTTCCCAGCTATCGTTAGCCATGGCTAATTAAGCAGTTTTTACAAAATAAACAAGTCTATCACAAAAGAAAGAAAATCATTTAGTTTTTCATTACAGGAAGCCAGTTTACTTGCACTAGGAGCATCTTTCGCTCCAGTATGAGACAGGTTTGTCATTGTTGGAGTGGAAAGGCTAATAGAAATGCCCCTCTTTCTCCATATTAACAGGGAAAGTGCATTGGACAGGATTTCTTGTAAGAATGCTTTGTGGGGGAAAGCTTCATATTAACCCAGTACATTGTAGGAACTCAACAAAAATGAATGAATGGGTGAATGAAGGCATGAATACAAAAACTGAAACGTAGCCAAGCAATGCTCATTTTGTCTCCTTTTGACAAAAACCACAATCTTGTAATAAATTTTCTAACATAGCCATAATGACTCATAGTGAAATCAGCCTTCAGATATAGTCAGTAAAAACTTTGGTAAAGCAATCACGAAAAAAACTGTTCTGTTAGGAATGATACCTTTCTGTGATTACCAGTACTATTATGTCCTTTCAAATACTTTATGAGAGCCCATGGATATGTATACTTAGGCAAGACAAGTTTGAAAGAGTTTTGTTTTTGTGGTTATTTCTAAAATGTATGGAGATTCTGTCACTGTTGAATTCTAGTTTGCTCCTTTGGTCTGGTTGAAAACTCTTGGACTAAATCGTGCTCTGTTGAATTGTCTGTTAGAAACGTTAGCATATCAGAGGAAACAATTCTTTCCTATTCTTTTGATAAGGGCAGAGGATGCCCCCAGTCAAATCAATGAGTAGGCGAAGAGCACAAAAGGAAGCCAGCATTTGAAAAATGTTAAAAAGAGGGGGTGGGTGTTCTCTGTCATGGGAACCTACCATTTTGGCACTTTGATTGGGGTCTGTGAGTCCTCTTAGATCTCTACTCGCACGTTTCTAGAATAAAGAATGTTTTGTCAGGAATTGCACCAGATGTCACACATAGACACACATGCACATGAGCACATACACAAGCAGACCACCTCTTCTTGCTTCATGAAAAAAATATAAGACAGATCATAAATTGCTATGAGATGGGGTGGGGGGATGGTTCTGGTAAAGTGAAGTTTTATCAGAAACCATTTTTCCTTGTACGCGCTGTGAATCTCTCCACCAGTAAATTTGGTAAGAGATTTCCAGACATTTTTCAAGTGCTAGAGCTCTCATTCAAAAAGTGTATCTACTGAAAGCCCAGAAAAACCAATTTATTTAAGTGGACTGTGCTGGTTGAGTGGGTGTGGGAGAGGCTCGGTCAGCTCCATCCTGAAAGTGCAGCACCTTCTGAGACCCTTCTGTGTGATAGGAGGGTGCTGTAGAAGCACAGACTGAAAACGATCTTAATCACACCCTTCCAGCCATGAATAAAGACAACTTAATGAGCCTTGGTAATTTTAAAAATATGTCATTGAGAAGCTGGTGCTTTCAGCACCCAGTTTTGAATAAGAAGTGTTCTCCTCTGTGACCTTGAGGATACAGATGTCCATACAGAGATTCTAGCATTTCGGGTCATGCTAGAAATCCTGTAATATCTCTGTTTTGACTCTGACTCTAATGCATGTGTGTGCTAATTTGGCTACTTTGTTTCTCTCTCGTGAATATTGATTCAGGGCTCCGCAGTCCTTAGTCCATGGAAAGCCCTCAGGCCGATCAATTCCTCACTGGAAGCCATCACTGGGTTTTGAATCCTGAGAACTGGGGCCAGGAGTGAGGTGAGGCATTCATCTCAGGAGCAGCATTTAAGGGGCACAAACAAACTCAGTAATTGTGATAAATCATACGTTAATGCATTGTTTTAAAAAAATCAAACTAATTCCCAAGAATTCACGATTAGCACGATGTCAATATTTTAAATAAAGACAGCATCTGACCGTGCACTTGCTGACTCACCATGCTCTTTTCGCCCGAACCCCACCCCCACTGAAAAGTAGAAAGTGTCTTATTTCTACCTCAAATCAGAGAGTTATGTTATATTATTGGATCTTTTCAAGGAACTGATGAATGGTTAAGTCCATCAACTTTATTACTGAAATGGACACAGACAGGCACAACCAACAGAAAGGAGGCAAGGGCCATACCAGTGTGATGTAGTGTGGGCTGGAAAAACTGGTTGGAAGTCTCTCCAACGACTCCGCAGTTCTTTGCTGGTGAAAACAAAAAATGATTAACCGGCAATTAGTTTGCAAACAAATATGATTATTTCCCAAACCCACAAAATACGTTTTCCAGACATCCCTGGAATACAGTCCTAACAAGTACAAATACAAAAATACATGGAAACAATCTTCTTTTCTACATTGTTGTCTTGTGGTGGATGAAGCTAAGATTTATCTATAAAGCCAACTTACATATGAGAAGAGTGGGACTTTCTTTATGTATTATAATATGAGTAGCACAGTGCAAGTCTGTTAGCCTTCAAATCTTAATATCTCTAGTTGTCTGAATGTCTGAAATCCCACAACCAGCCACAATCCTTTGGACCTTGAAGATCTTTGAGAACCTCCAGATCTTACTTTTGTCATACAGATATGCCTGGCTAAGGTTCCCCTCTTTAAAATACTTTCTGTGAACCCCCAGCAGATGTTAATATAACTAGAAAGCGTGTTCCAAGGGGAACAGGACCTAGGAGAGGCACTGGGGACCAGAGGAAAAATTAACCAAGCATCATTAGTTAACAGGGAAAAGATACCAAAGACAGACTTTTCTGAAATCATTTTTGCTGATAACTGGTCTTTGATGGGTAACTAATATGTCAAACAAGCATCAGCTAAATCATTATTATGTATATAATTTTATGACAAATGATAACAAGCCTAAACATGAGATCTGAGGGCCCAATCTCTGTTTATAATATATTATGGTATATACACCACTAGTGGTGAGTTAATTTTGTTCATATATTCAACCAATATTTATTAAGCTCCTCTTCAAAGTTCCTCATTTAACTGAAAAGCTAAAAGCCCATACTTAAGAAGCTTGCATTCTAGAAAGTAACAAATATGTCCCAGGCTCTATTTACACCGCTGGCTGGCTTCTGAGACTATTCATCAGTGATCACATGTTCAGGCCACCTTCCCCAGACTCTCCTCTGTGGGAGTGCATCTATTTTGCATATTAATTTAAGGAAAGGGTATTTAGGAAAGTAACTGCAAGAGCACATGGGGCATACAAGATAATTAACACATATTAAGTACTAAACATATAGCAAACACTGTGCTAAGTACATTTACCTACAGTTTCTCATTTAAACCTCAAGGCAAACATATGAGATTGACATTATTTATTTATTT